GAGCTGTCCAGCAGCTTACTTGAGCCCCATTGGGGGTCAAACCCTGAACCAAGAGATGATGACCTGAGCTTTGAAATCAAGAGTGGGACACCCAAACAGAGCTGAGCCTGCCCAGGCCTTCTTGAAGACTCAATCTGAGGCACAGCGCATCACTTCCACCTTGTCCTCGTGGTGAATGCAGGTCACTGTGAGACCCAGGCTGAGGACTACGCAGCCTACCCGGGGTGTGACTGCAGCTGGGATCTGTAGCTCATGGGGCTCTGATAAGGAGTGAACTACCATAACAGCTCAGTTGTGCATTACCAGGACCTGCTCCCTAGTTACCTCCGGGAGAGGAAGGCAGGGGTGTGGGTGAGTGGATGCTTCCCTGATGCCTTTCCTGAAGATATTCCTGGAGGTATAGCCCAGGGGCCCACTCCACCAACCCTTCCTGACACTTTTCATGTTTATTCCCATATATTAAATCCTTCCTGCTTGGTGCCTGGGTGGTGCAGTCAGTGAAGCCTCAGCTTCTCAGCTCAGGTGAACTGGTTTGTGAGTTTCAGCCCACCTCAGGCTCTGTGCTGACCAGCTGGGAGACCCCAGGAGCCTGCTTCAGATTCTGTGTCTCCCTCTCTCTGCCCCTCCCCCACTTGTGCTCTGTCTGTCTGTCTCTCTCTCTCTCTGTCTCTCAAAAATAAATTTACAATTTTTTAATTAAAAAATTCCTTCCTGCTAAATAAAGGAAAGCAACTGTCAGCTTCAGATTAAATTTTGACTAATAATTAAATGTTGCCACAAGGGGTTACTTTCCCTGGTGAGAGTGTATTAGTGTTCTGGGTTTTTGTATGCAAAGTGTCACACGTGGGGTGGCTTAAACAACAGACAGTGATTGCTTCACAGGTGGAGGCAGGAGTCTGAGATCAAGGTGTCCACAACATTATTTCAGGGCTGTGAGGATAAATCTGTTCGGCCTTCTCCAGCTTCAGTGGTCCACTGGCGATCTTTTGGTGTTCCTTGTCTTGTAAACATCTTGATCTCTACTACCTTTTTTTTTTTTTGTAAGTTTACTTATTTGTTTTTTTGAAAGAGAGCAAGTGGGAGAAGGGGCAGAGAAGCAGAGAGAAGAACTTAAAAGCAGGCTCCAGCTGTCCTTCAGCACAGAGCCTGACAGGGGCTCGATCCCAAACCGAATCATGCCCTGAGCTGTCCAAAATTGAGACTGCAACCTTGCTTTCTGAGCCACCCAGAGATTTATGATCTCTACCCTTTTAAATATATTTTTAATGATTTTTCTTTTAGTTTGTATTTTAATTATTTTAGTGTTTTTATTTATTTACTTACTTATTTGGATTTAACTTTATTTTTTTGAATTTACATCCAGGAGTTAGCACCTGGCTCTTAGCGATGGTTCAGGTAGATTCCTTGGTGCCCTTTCCCCATTTGGCCCCCACTCCCCTGGCACTGGCCCCCTCAGCAACCTGTTTTGTTCTCCATATTTAAGGGCTCTTTTGTTTTGTCCCCCTCCCTGTTTTTATATTATTTTTTGCTTCCTTCCCTTCCTTGTGTTCTCTGTTCATGTGTCTTAAGGTCCTCATATGAATTGAGTCATATGAGTATTTGTCTTTTCTTTCTGACTAATTTCATAGCATAATACCCTCAAGTTCCTTCCACGTGGTTTCAAATGTGAGATTTCATTCTTTTTTTGATTGCTGGGGAATACTCCACTGTGTATGTATGTGTGTGTATATATATGTGTATATGTATATACTTTTCATATATATATATAACTGCTAACTATATATATATATATATACCACATCTTCTTTATCCGTTCATCTTGGAGTGGACATTTTGAATCTCTTTCCATGCTTTTTGGCTATTGTTGATAAAGATAGCAGTGTAAAAATTTTTATTTATTTTTTTTATTAAATTTTTTCCAGCGTTTTATTCATTTTTGGGACAGAGAGAGAACCCAAACATGAGCAGGGAGGGGCAGAGAGAGAGGAGACAGAATGGGAAGCAAGCTCCCAGGCTCTGAGCCATCAGCCCAGAGCCTGGCCAGCGAACTCACGGACCCCGTGGTCGTGACCTGGCTGAGGAGTCGGGACGAGCGACTGCGCCACCCAGGCGCCCCGGAGCCTCCAACTTCTCAGCTCAGGTCATGGTGTCATGGTTTGTGAGTTCCAGCCCCCACCTCGGGAGTTCTGTGCTGACAGCTGGGGAGCCCGGAGCCTGCTTCAGATTCTGTGTCCTCCCTCTCTCTCTGCCCCTCCCCCACTGCCATCTGTCTCTTTCTCTGTCTCAAAAATAAAATTTACAGGGAGGCCTGGGTGGCGCAGTCGGTTAACGTCCGCTTCAGCCAGGTCACGATCTCGCGATCCGTGATTTCGAGCGCGTCGGGCTCTGGGCTGATGGCTCCGGAGCCTGGAGCCTGTTCCGATTCTGTGTCTCCCTCCTCTGCCCTCCCCCGTTCATGCTAACTCTGTCTCTCTGTCCCAAAAATAAATAAACAGAACAAATTAAAATAAATAAATAAATAAATAAAAAAAAGCATTATTAAAAAAAAATTTTTTTTTTTTTTTTTTTTTGAGGGCAGAGTGCAAGGAGGGAAGGGCAGAGAGAGGGGAGACAGAATCCGGGGTCCAGACAGCTCAGAGCAGATGAGGGGGCTCAAACCCTGAGCCGAGCTCATGACCTACCGACAAGTCGGACAACAACCAACCAAAACCACCCAGCTGCCCCTAATTTTCATGTTTTGTTTATTTTTGAGAGAGAAAGAAAGAGACAGAGTGTGTGGTAGTGGGGGAGGGGGAGTCAGAGAGAGAAGGAGAACACAGAATCCGAAGCAGAAGTCCGGGGGAGGCACAGAGCGTGATGCAGGCTTGAACTCGTGAACTGTAGCCCAGGATCGGCCTGAGCCAAAGTCAGACACCCACCCGGCTGAGCCACCAGGGACCCGCCCCCATCTCAGCCTTTGTCCCATTTACCTACTCCCTGTGTCCCTCGGTGTCCCTTACACGTTCTCCCTGTGGTTGTACACTTGGGCAAACATTGAGTATAATACAAAATGGCTGGTCTTTGCTTGATTCCTAGGAGTAGGAGAAGGGGAAAAAACCCTTTTTTCCTCAAAAGCGC